TTTTCTCTTTTCTGAAGTCCCAGTTTTTCCATCATCCTGTTGCCTTGTTAGTAACAAAAATAGAAGGTTATTTTTCAACAGTTCTCTTCACCTGTTGCCTGAAAAGCATACACAAATTAAGTAATTAATTGAAGGAATTGTGTGGCATATTCAAGACAAACAGAAAAATCTCTAGAACTATAGTAAGAGTTTTGTGTTATGTCTCTGCAAAAAAACATAAGACTGTGTTTCATGCTTTATATCCTTCCCTGCAGTTGCCCATGATTGCAACAAAAAAATTGCGTACTCTGCAGGATAGAAAGCCATAAGGGAGAGATTGTACATTGAGAGGCACTTCACGTGTGTGCTGTTCAGCATTACTCTGAACAGAATAGGAGTTGTTTGAACAAACACCTTTCAAACAAATGCAAAGTATCTTAGATTCAGTAATAGTGATTTTGTGCTTGCATTTTTTTTTTTTTTAATTTATTTGTGTTTGTATTTAAATGGCTGAGATGATCAAGAAAGGTGTTCCTGTAACGTATTCAGTAGTAGTGGTGATTTGCTTAATTTGGCAGAGAAAATAGAATAGCAAAAAACCTGTCATAATTTAATTAGGATAAATTGATTTTGTAGTTCAGCTTTTAACCTTAGATGGAGAGATTGGAAGACATTTTGGGCATGTGCCAGAGCATATATGTTCCATGTATGGAGCACTGGCCTATATGGGACTTGTACCCTTTTATGGGATGCCACTGTAGTGTGCAGGAATTTTATTCAGACTAAAACTTTTGATCCTATTTAGACAGTCCATACAGATCTTTCTAAAAATAGTTTTGAATTATTTTGATTTTTTTAATTGCATATTTGAAAATACCATGTAGGTTTCTAGTGCTTTATCAAGTTCTCCTGTATGCAGGTAACTGTTAGCCCAAAACCTATTACTTCAGTGCTAGTCTCTATTTTTGGTTTGTTGGGGTTTTTTTTTGTGGTTTTTTTTTTTTTTTCTATCTTTGATTGTTTACTTAATGGTTACCTCCCTTCTGGGGTTGAATTTCATCATCATTGGATTTCCATTCACTATGTTTCACTATCCATACTGTCCTTTTTGTCTTATATATGAATTCCTTGTAGAAGTGGACTTAGAGTTGTCTGACTTGCAGAAGAGCAAGACCTCTCTGTAGGCTGTTACAAGTTGTAGTAGCTGCGTATGATCTGGTAGTGTCTCTGCTGTAGGAGGTAGCATTAATTGCCGTGGGTTTCTGTGCTGTTGATATGTGAGGTTTCTGCATCGGAGGTTTCAGGGCAGGCTGAGGATGTCAGCTGTGGTCACTTTTACACCTGTACCACGTGAAGAGTATTCCAGCAGAACAGGGTCTGGTGATTACATAGGGAATGTCTTTAATATCTTTCCTTAGCCCTTCATCCCTTTATCTTCACATCTCTCTGAAAATGGTTTTCACAGTAACGGCTTTGTTTCTGTTCCATTTGTTTCCTGTTTACTCTCTTGCACAAGAAAGGAAGGGGAACAGGGTTCTCCTGAACTCCAGAGTCCCCAGGTCCTTCACCTCTGTTTCGGGACTGATACGCTGGAAAAGTACAGTTGTTTAAGCCTCCGGAGGCTGTCGGTGCTGCAGCTCTGTGCTCTGAGGGTGGAGCCACACACACACATACCCAACCATTGCTGTAGAAAAGAAAAATCCAGGTGCTGGTTTCAGGTTCCAGGTATTAGAGGAGATGCTTCTGTTGGAAAGCTACTGCTTAACTGAGCTGCTACCTTCCTTCCTTCCTTCCTTCCTCCCTCCCCTGTGGCCAGTGGTGGTGAGCAAGCTTAATGAGGAGGTTGCAGGAGAACCAGCTCTTGCTAATTGACAACATCCATTTGACACTGCAGGGATGCTGAAGTTTAGGATCTGGGCCACATGTATTTGTGACTTAGTGAGCAGCAGTGAACGTCTACTGCATTATTTTTATTTTTTTTATTAGCAAATATTTTTACATTGATTTGTTACTCTCAAAAGGGTATTTTCTACCAGTTGTTCAGCTTTTCTCAAGGAAGCAACATTTTAGCTTTTCACAACCTTGCTGGAGGAAATCCTTCAGTGAAACTGAATCCACTGGGTTTGTAACAGGATCACGGCACCACTTCCATTTTCTGACTTTGCATGGTCTGACTAGGGAGGGAGTGATAGTGAGTAGCAATTGCCTACAAAAGAGAAATGTTAAAAGTGTGTAGGATTAGCCATGTAAAAGGTCTTAGTTCTCATCATGGCTTTGCATTAATTGCTTGTAGATTTTTTTTTTTATTTTATGATAACCTGTAGTTATTGCAAAACCGTTCACTGCCTTCTGTGCCTTCCCCTATCCTACCCTCTTCCCTGCAAAAAAAAAAAAACCAAAAAAACCCCACCAAACACCCACCCCCCCAAACAACAACAACAAAAAACCCACCAGCCCAAAACCCCCTGAAAAAAATCAGTAGAAAATATCTCAGCAATGGGTGAGTTCTGAGGGAGATGTGCTATAGAAAGTCGTATCAGTGACCTGCTGGTGCAGTTTTGAGTGTACTGCACAATAATGCTCCTCAGTGAGTTTAATCTCCTTTACACAACGTAGCCACTCAGCCCATAGGAAGAAATATTAAGCCTTGCTTCAAAACCAAGTCCCTGTTTCTGGCAAAAAGCAGAAGTGTGTAAATGCAGGAAGATGCATTTAGTGTTCAGACTCCTGTGGGAATTTAATTGGGGACAAGCAATAAGCAGTGAAGCCAGTAATAATTTCTGTATTTGGAAGATGGAAACTAGAGGTAATAAATTAAAATAATGGTTAGAGGATTTTTTTTCCCCACACGATTTATGTAAGAATTATTTGTTTTGCAAACCATTACATTTAGAGAGAGGTATAATATTCCCCTTCAATAACAGAGTGAAACTGAAGCTCCTGTGTGCAAGTTTGGTGTGCCTGCAGTTGCTCAGTTCCCAGCATGTGTTTTTATGTGTGGAAACTCTTTGTGTCTTTTCTTGGGTTTTTTTGCCTTATGGACAGAAAATGTGCTTTTTTCAGGACAGAAGGTTTGATTCTGCAGTGCCCTGATGTATCCAGATGTAGCTAGTTAGGAGTGCTCAATTTGTGGCAGACCCAGAAGTGGTTTATGAGTGAATCTGGCTAAATAGTTTTCTATCCTGGGCTATATTCAGTAACTGGAGAAAATGTTGGGTTTAGCTCTTCTGTCTCCAATTGCTACCACAAACTTTCTTAACTATATGCTGACAAAAATGTGGAAGTTTCAAATGTTAAGGTTAGTAAATGAATGAAATGTTACAAAGAACTGCAATTTGAGAGTTTTCCAGAGAATGCCATACATACGCCCCCAGGTGTATCTCTTTCAGCATGATCCGTGAATTTTGTATAACATTTGGGGGTAGCAGGCAGTCCCAGACTTGTTATTAAATTAGAGTATAAAGCCATTGCAATTTTCTTTTGACAGCTGAGAACTCCAGCTCTCTTTTTACCAAAACGTTTAGTTGTTCTCCCCCTTAAAAATGCCAGTATTAGCAGTGATGTCCTTAAACGTATTTTTTTTTAATGAATTAAGAGCTAAAGCATGTGGCATTCTTTCTTCCTTTGCAAGTAAATACTTTGCAAAGTAGATTTCCATGGTTTTATAAAGAACACTTTGCGTAACTTGCAGGCACTATAGCGTATACATTGTCTAGAACCTGATGAGTTTATTTTTTGGAGAAAGCATCATTGTTCTTACAAGGTATGCTCAATTTTTTTTCCTCTTTGGAACTTTGGAGGATGAACATGTTGGTTATTGAAGGCCTATGCTGAAGCTCTGCACGTGCTTACAATGTTGATTTGTAAGGACGTGCGATGTGTTGTTCAGCTGTAGAGACTGTGAAGATGCAAGTAACGTGGTGGAGGTTCATAAAACAGGACCTCTTCTTTCAACACCATCTTTATTGAACAGACCTTTGCAGGAGGAGGGTACGAGTACAGGTTTCTCTTAAATTCACATGAATATTTTTATATGTATATTTTTAATTTGTCTGTTTGTATCTGCAAACCTAATTCAGGGAGTTAGGTTGGATCAGCAAGTAGAAGTTAAGGCCAGACACTCTTCAGTAGCTGGTGAGGTATCTGTGCGTTACTCAGTTCCAGACTTGGTGAATAAAAAAGGTGCCAAGTAGATGACTGTTAAATCCGAACACTTGTGGATCTATATATTCTCTATTTTAAATAATATAGCTTATTCACCCTTTAATAGAAAAGAAAAAAAATCACTTACCCTCAGTACATGTTTTGTGTCTTTTCTACCTGCCCTAAGTAGATTCCAGAATGAAATTACTAAATTGGAAGCTTTTTGGCTTGTATCCTGCTAATGGAATTACACCTTTATTCTAGTCTATTTTATATTGTGATTGTGTGTTTTTGATTTTTAAATAAAAGTTAAATGGGTTACCTTTAATTGAGAACCCAGTTAAAGCAGTCTTAATTTTCATGCAGCTTTATCGTGCAGTTCAGAAGGAGTTTGTTGATGCTATGCAGAAGACAGTCCTACTCTTTTTAATTGCAGCAACCAGTTTTTCTTAACTGTCGTTACCAATACCTGAACAGCTGCTTCATTTATACACGTATTTTCTATTGTTAAATAGTTAAAAGGTTAGATCTTGTAATAGACAAAGATGTTTCAATCCACCTCAATGAGTACCTGTACATTTATGCTTGGCCTCAAATACCTAAATCACTTTGATAAGAATATAGCTTTCAAGAACCTTGTTTGCTTCTGTTTTGTCAATTTTATCTTTCTTTTTTTTTCTTCCCCCTTACGGCTTTTAGCATGATTTGGATATGTTGTTTAAATGGATAGAACTGAAAAAAAGAGATTTCAGATTCCATGTCTTCATTCATGTGAAATGTTAATAATGTTTTGAGATGTTCTTTAATATTCTTAAGTCTTTTTTTTTCAAAGTTAACCTGAATACCAAAAATAACAAAGACCGTTCTGTTTTCTGCAGTACTTTGGAAGCTTACTTGTAATATTCTGCGTTGAACTGGCCTGTGGTGTTTGGACCTATGAGCAGGAAATCACGGTGAGTCAGAAAAGGAGGCTGCATTTTTTCAACAGAAGAAAACAAAGATTTTCATTAGCTATCTGTTTTTTAATTGCCGTGGTGTTTATCTTTGTTCATAATTCCAACAGTCTAATTTCTAGTGACTGCCTTTTTTTTGAACAGATAATTCTTCTGGGGAAGCTTATCTGTCTGGAAGGTCCTATCTGGGTTTCTTCCCACCCCGTCTATATTTGAGAGCCAAATCCTTCAGCCCCTGATTTAAGGACTTTGTTTTGTGTTAATTCTTGCTTAGGCAGGTTATCATTGAAGTCAGCGGAAGTTTTGAGGATCAAGTATGAACTTCAGGCTTAAGATAAGTATTTTGAGAGAGGAGATGTGAGAATTTGAAGGGATTTTTCCCCAAACTTAATATTTGAAAGAGCTATAGCTGAGTGTACTATGTTGTAAACAGACAGTGTGTTCTTTCAGTAGAGGACTTGCTGTCTGCCGAAATCTTCACACTGCCTCCACAAGCTATAAATGCCAGTTTTAAGCAAAACATGTCTTAGCTGTAAAACACTCTTCTGTAAACTTGTGAAGAGGTTTTATCTCTGTCTAGTTTTTATAGCTGTACCAACCTTTAATTTTCAAACTGAAGGCTTGTAAACATCATGCAAGAAAATGGGTAAGTGTTGAGCAGGAATTAAACTGAAATGTTACTCTGCTGGCGGCTATATCCTTGCGTCTTGTACTCAGTCTGGTACATTTTTTAGGAATAGAGGAACAAATATTTTCTCTGGGCTGCCAAGAAATGCCCAATATACTGGTCTTTCCAACAGCGAGTAGCAATTACATTGCAGTAAGATGGAACGGAGCTTTCTTGATATTTACACGGTTCTGGGACTAAAGGAATTTCTGGCAGATTTGAAGTCTGAAGTTATGTGGCAGCACTTTGCATCAGCATTCATTCCCTTGCGGTACAGATTCCAGACGGGTGTTCTAATATAACAGCGATTAAGGCTATCCCTTTACTTTAAATGTCAGCTTACGTTGATGCATTTTAAAATTGGGAATGCAGACAAGAGGCTTGCTTTATCCTATGGGCACAGCTGCCCTCTGCGGGGGTTTTGCCAGGGATGACAGTTATAACTAACATCCATCTTTCCACAGAAATCTTGTCAGTGGAAGCTGCCTAAAATAACATAGCCTTCAGTGCACTGGTACATGCCTTCTCCAGCCTTTGCTATTCAGTTAAGACAACCTGACGTTATGGTGTGTTTCAGCGTGACCCCCAAGCTTTCAGTTATGTGCTATGCTACTGAAACCCAAACCTGGGACAGTTGGATAAAAGCTGGCATAACCCTACCACGTTAAGGCACTGGTGATGCTGCTTCCCTCCAGAAAAACACAAGGCAGTTCCTGCACCCCTTTGCCAAAAGAAGCGGTGCTGAGCTTCATGTCTGTACCTTCTGCAGTGGGTCACAGTGGACACAGATACTCCATGCTCCTCCAGTTCTTCCTCGTTCTCCCAGGAGTTAGAGTGTATTAACATGAGCATGCAAATAGACCAGAAAAAAAAAAATCTTCAACAGCTGCTTTTTTTTTAATCTCTTTTCTTTTCTCCCTCTATATACATTTTTATTCCTTATCCCCTGAAATACTGGGGTGTTTTTTTTTTTGTTTTCTCTTTTCATCTGATTTCTTCTTATTTCCTTTGTTCAACACTACTGCTCTTTGTGTGATGGGGTGGGCCAGACTCAGGTTTCTTGCTGCTGAGACCCATAGGGAACGTGCAGTCTGGAAAAGCGCGATTGTTTTTCAGTGGTTCTTTCATGCCTGTGCAGGTCGCTTTCCTAGAGCATGCTTTCTCCTACTCTATACTTGATAAAGATAAGAAAACTCCCTTTTATACCTGTAGCGGTGACTTAATGTCATGTTGGTTTCAGTGTAGCATGAAATCACACGAGCTCCTGGTGGGCTTCAGAGAATCAGTTGGCATTAGTGTAGGTGGGTGGGTGATGTTGTCAAAATGTCACTGAGGCATAACCGCCTCTGCTGATCCAATATGGGCTCTCCTTGGCGTGTGCACAAGTTGCTCCAAGAGACCTTGTATAAGCAGTTTTCCTTCCAGCTCATGATAGCTCTCAGTGTGAAGTGTGCCTCATGACTAATTTATTCCACCCACAAGATTGAAAAGCCAGTGTGGGTTCTTGGCTTACCTGGGTATTGGTCAAGCCTTGATACTCATTAGAAAAATAATAACGAATAAGGAGATCTCAACAGCAGACCGAGCTTTACAGAACTTTAAAATCAAACCAGCATCTCTAGTTTTCGTTTGTCTACACACTACAGGAAAGTGTTGGTGTACAATCAAATGCATCTCAAGATCATGTATTATTGTGCACTACGGTGTGCATGAGCTGAGGGGAAGCTAATTAATAGGTAAGTCAGTCAAACGCACAGATTCCGATATCCCTCCTTAGCTCCAGAATTCAAATTGCCTTCCTACAGTGGGGTTTAGTTTGTTTTGACTTGCTTTTAATTTCCTTCTCTCACTTCTTGATTTCTTTTTTTTCCTGCTTTCTATTGTTTTCATAAAGAAGTTGGACGCCTTGTGTTACATGTGTAACCTTGGACTGTATTCAACTCAAATAAGATAATAAAAAAATAGTCTAGCAAATCTGAGCTTAATCGTGGCAATATCAAATATTATCCAAAGAAAGCAGAGTGCTAACTTCCAATGTGGTGGAAAGAGAAATGCATTAAGTACAAAACCAAATTATTTTATTATAGTGACCAGTGTAAATGTTTGTGGTAGGAATATTCTGTGATATTGTTTTTAAGTGTCTTTTAGTACTCTACTGCTAACGTTTTTCACATGGACAGTTGTGAGTTCAATGCTTTATAGCTTAAGAAATAAAAATTCTGCTGAGTGAAAGGTGTGTTAAATTTCTGGGATATTATTAATATATTCATATGCATGATATATGAAGCTTTACCACAGTTGTAAAAAATGTAGTATAACTTAGGAGTGATACTGAGACATTATCAAATGTGCTTATTTGGATTAGAGGGTCAGTCAGGGAGTGATTATCCCTATATTGTAGAGCATCTAGCACAAAAAAAGACCAGGCTCCTTGGGAAGTATTGTGATCACTTTTTTTTTCTTAGATAACATTTATTGCTATCTTCAGAATGCGGTTACCATTCACTCCAAATTGAACAGCACAGCTAAGTCACAGCCACTAGAGGAGCTGGGCTCCCCCGCCCTCCAAATGAAAGCTGATACTGCAATTGCGATTTCTTACACCGTGACTATTAAGGCTAATGGGAAAAAGGCAAAACTCAGCATGAATGGTATGTGTGCCTGGAAGGGCAACTGAAGAGTCTTCAGCTCCTTGTTTTAGGATGGCACACTGAAATGTGTGCTGCTGAACAGAAGTTAGTTTCTTACCTTGACTCTTACCTGCGTTGTATGCCAGGTGCCATAGCACGTGCTTCTGTTGTTTCTAATAAATTACTAACTGAGGATCATAGTCTGACAATGGAGAGCACCAGCACCTTGCTTCTGAGTACTCAAATTTGAAAGAAAAATACTTAGACTCCTTCTTTCAGAAGAAAAGATTTGCAAGGTCGTGAGTGTGTGTGAAGGAAAAAGTTCACAAGGCCTCATTGTCTACACTTCCTTCTTACTGTGCCTGAGCAAGATACTGAAATCAAGTACGTTCAGGATACATGCGTGCAGGACTCCAGGTGAAGCCAGAAAGCCACTGAAAAGACTCAGGGTAGAATTAATCTCAGATGATTTTATGTATTTGGAAGTTAGATGTTTAAATCTAAGTTTGTCGCCTTAGTGGATTTAAGACTTGAAGGGAGTGATTCATCTGCTCTGTTTCAAATATTCATCTTGAGATGAACTGCCCCATACGGCTGCCTGTTTCTTTCTATTGACTAAGGAGACTCCAGGGAGATACCTGAACTAGGGCAGACAAATGCCATCCCTGATGATTTGGATGGGGCTTTGTTCAAGTTTTATGCCAGGTAAAAAAAATCTGTTAATGATATAATCAGATTGTACCCAGCTATCTCTGAATCTCCAAAATGCAGCTCTTTTTGCAGTGTACATTAATTTGTAAGCAAAGGTCACAAATAACATTTTCCTGATATTTTAATAAAGGCTTGTAAAGTTTCAGTATTGTAAAAATTGAAGCACTTGTTTTCCTGCTTTATTTGCATATGGTTATTTTGGTCATTGCACTGGAAAGACCTCAGAAAAGGTGGAAGTTCTGGGTTTGGAGCCACAAGCCAACTCATCTGTTGTGTGAATCACTTTTCTTTCCTTGCTCCAGGTTCCAGTGCAGTGGTCTGATATGATCACGCTGAAAGCCAGAATGACCAATTACGGCCTACCTAGGTACCAGTGGTTGACCCATGCTTGGAATTTCTTCCAGAGAGAGGTAAGATGACAGTTGATTTATGAGCTGAGGTAATACATGTTTGGTAAGTGTTACTTATGTGCTAAAGGAAAAGGTTTGGTTTTAAGTGAATAGGTAAATAAATGCAAGTTCATTTCATGTGAAACCCTGTGTAGTGGTGATCTCTTTTAACATCACTTGATATCCAACTCTTGAGCTTTTGTAGGCCCTAAAGACATTAAAATGCAAAAAAAAAAAAGTAACTAAATTAAGTTAAATTGCTCACACTATCTTCTCCTTTGCCAGTAAGGTTAGGACACCAACATCTTTTAGGATTATTGTAATATTTAAGAATATGATGTACATAAAATTAAAAATCTGCAGGTAAAGTAAAATGAAACTTCTATGTGCAGTTTTAATACTAAACTGCACTCCCATTCCTGTAAGGCTCTGTTAGTTTCCTTTCATGGAGCTGTCATGGTTAAGATATGTGTTAGCTGGAAATGAGTGGGAAAGAAAGTTTTCCAAAAAGATGCCAACACTGTCTCTTTGGCTGTGGTTTGAGAAAGTGATCAGGGTATTTATTTCCTTTTACTGGAGGATGGCGGGAAACAAACCAAAAAAGCTTCCTTCTGTATTCACAGCTGTGCCCTCTAGCCTACTAAAATTCAGGACCGTTTTTAAAGAATGAAGTATTATGTTACAAAAACATGAAATTGCCCAAGGTAAAACCCATTAACTCCAAATATAACTCACGTGCAGGAAGAGGACTCTTGAAATGCCTGTCATTGTGCTGCCCTTGTTGAAATGTTGAAATCTATCATTGTTGCACAGGTTTCCTGTTTATTTAAACATTTCCTGGCAGCACTTGGTTAGTCTGTATTTATACTAAAACCTGAAAGAAAGAGTGAGGACTACATGAGGTTAAACACTCACACCCCCCCCTCCCCAGTCCCCTCTGGCTATGCAAGTGCTCTGTGAAACCAAGTAATTCTTCCTGTGCAGGTAGAGTGTTTGTGTCTGTTCTGTACCTGAGATCATATAATCAAATGGTCTTGATTTTCCTTGAATAGAGCTGATACTGTATCTTGGTTTAAATGTATATGTTGATTAAATTAAAAGCTACCTCTTACCCTCCTTGTTGTTGCAGTGTCATCATAATGGCTGGTTTGAATATGAATTTTAGTAATAAAATTTCAACTATGCCTTAACTCTTCCAGGGGAGCAAGAGTTCCTTTTAGAAGTTAGATTTCCTATATTCCATCTCTGACCAGAGTAATGATTTGGGGAACGTTTGAAGTGAACTGAGAAGGCACTTTTACAGCTACTACTTAATTGGTGTACTCTAATTTTTATTGTCTGCTTGTAACTCAGATGGTGGATGTGTGAGCCTGGTATGTGCTTTATGCCTGAATGAGCACTGTGCTGCTTCAGTCAGCATTACAATATTTTTCCTAAAGAAAAAATGTGTAATTACAATTTTGTTCCCAAGGATTCAGCCCTGATCAGCTTTGTGCGTGCTCTTCTGTATCTTTCAACACCTGAGAGAGATGGGAAATGCATTTTCCCCCCAACCCCCTTGCTGGTCTAATATCCGAGTTGTGGCTATGCTAAAGGTGGAAAGGGTCAACTGAAGTCAAGAAGGAAGAACTTTACGGGGGCAGGGAGGAAGATCTGAGAGTAAGAAAAGGATGTTTAACGCAGTGGTCTTTGCAGTTACAATGAGGAGTCAAAGCTTGATCTTTCCTTAGAAAGTCCCATGTTCAGAGGATTTTGAGTGACTAACGAACTGATAACAGAGATGTTAAAGCTGTGGTGAAAAAGGAAGAAGTAAGATTTGTAAGAGAACTGGTGAAGTCATGGCACAGCGTGTGCAAACGTGATGTCTGGGCACTGATCCTTGATAGTGACTGAGGAGTGGCATGGTGTACAGGACTCTCTCTCTGAAGCGGGTAAGGGGGGCAAATGTTCCCAAGCCCATGGATCAAAGGAACCAGGTGATGACTTACAAACGCTCACGCTGGTGCTGAAGAACATCCAGACGGAAAAAAAGCAACATCTTGTTCCTGCAGCAAGGCCTTTTTGCATGCCCATCCAATGACGAAGAAAATCTAATGTTGCTAGGAATGTGGTAGGCAGGTCGTTTGGCTTTAAATTTCTTAGTGTGCTTGGCAGAGGAGAAGGCAGGTTGTTAGTCCTGGTGGTTTTTATAGCCAATTATGGCTCATCTGCTTTGCAGCCAGGCTTCCTACTTTTATGGTTGATTCTGTTGCAGTGTTTATTCTAGTGTGATAACCCCTTCCTTCCATTTTCCTTTTTCTTTCGGCAAATCACAAATGTGATTTCTATACATTTTTGCGCACTTTTTAAAAGCTTTTTTCTGTATTCAGAGAAATCAAAGTATTTTCCATCTGGATTTCAACAGATGTGTCTGTAGTTGTAGCCTTGCAGGAATAGTCCTCACTAGTATGACTTTAATCATCTTTTCCTACTGCTCAGTAGTAGGAATACTTGTTCGTTAGTAACTCTTTTGACATGAAATTATCATGTGTTAGTTCCTTGTAGTAAGGATAGCAGAATTACAGGGTAGGACAATTTCTGTGAAGCATCCTTTGAGGGAGCAGTTGGGATTTAAAGGACAGAGCAGTATCATTGGCTTTTTGAGGTGTTCATTGGTCACTACATTGGTTTTTTCATGTTGCTTAGCGTGTCAAAGTACAGCAAAAGAAAATACGTGGAAGCTTTTGTAGATGCTTTTAGCCTTACGTGAATATTTTGAAAGTTGTTAACAGGAATATATGTAGCTTTTTTGATGACCTACTTTTATGAAGAGTAGCATCATTATTGCTGATCTTGGCTAATCCTTCCTTTGCAGTTTAAATGTTGTGGGGTGGTGTACTTCACAGACTGGCTGGAAATGACAGAGATGGACTGGCCGCCTGACTCCTGTTGTGTCAGAGAGTTCCCAGGATGCTCCAAGCATGCACATCATGAGGATCTCAGTGACCTTTATCAGGAGGTAAGAAGAAAAATGTGGGTATTTTGGAAGGCTTTGTACATTCTTCCTGATTCAGTCCTTTTCCAAACTCATCACAAGCAGTGCAGCAGAAATATTTGTAGAGTAATTGTGTTTATGGAAAGTGTTTATTGTGTTTATTTATGTTTATTATTTACTAATGCTGAAGTGGGGGAAGGAAGGAAGAATCCCACCCACCCCTACCTGGAAGTGAGTTAAATTAATAGCTAATACAGTTAACATCTGAGATGTGCTTAAACGCTGAGGTATTTGTTTTATGTTGGTTAGGTTGGAGATGAAATTTGCTCCAACCAAAAAAAAAAAAAGTTTTGGTGTAATGTCCAGTCTCCAGCTTGCCAAACTAAGAGAAGTTCTACTTACCTATGGTAACGAGGACTCTAGTGGTCTGTACAGTGAAGGATGCTTTTGAGAAGTCCTTTGGAAGATGAGAGCTCTCTTGTTAACAGGGCTCATGCAAGGAGGCAGATAATTCAGTTGCTCCGCTGTGACTATGCGCAGAAACTCTGTGTGAAAATGCCCTTTCTTTCTCACTCTACTACATTACAGTATTATTATTTTAAAGGATTAAAAAAAAAAAAAGCCTTAAAACCAGGAGAGGACCTATTTGAACTCAGAGTGTGTAAGGGAGGTGGTCGTAGAAGCAAGTCATTACTGTTCTTAGGGTGAAAATTATAAAAACAACATGTTCGCTACTAAAACTCTTCTAGCTGTTCTCACAAAAATGGTGTCTAAAGCCACCTTTGTCTGGAGACTGCTTTGCTACCTACTATTTTTTTTTTTTTTTAATGCTAACAGACTTCTGAAGACCTTTATCTGTGCATTCAGTAATACCAGAATAACCAACAGTTCAGATAGGCCAGTAGTGATAAAAAGCATGGCTCAGTCAAATAGTTATGAGGATTTGAGAAGAGGTGCATTCTTCACTTGCTTGCTTTAAGAGTAGTATAGGGTGCATAGGAAGGAGAATGGGCCTGAGAAGTGTGCTTTCAGACACTGCAGCATGAACTTCTCCAGTGGACACTGTAACTCTGCATTATGGAAAAGCACCCAAAGAACCATTTCATCTTGTCACACAGTTCACTACTAGTTCACTACTTTGTTACAAGAATCTCTTATGTGGCTCTTGTTCAGGAGCTATGGAGAGATTCCTCTGAAGTAGGGGAGATTCACTGTCTAAACAAGCCGAGATGAGTATTAGCTGTTGCCAGGAACAAACAGGTTTTGGGGAAATGGTGTCACTGATGTGGAGCAATGTGCTGGATTTGTATGGCATTGACTTTGAGCAGAAATTATATAATCTGTTCTGGACTTTCAGACATCCATCCTAGGCCTTGTGTGCTGCTACTAGGAAGAGAGAAGGTAGAGTTGCCAGAAGGCAGGTGCCTCAGAAGGCTGGTCTGTGCTAGGGGACCTTAAAGATAGTGGCGGAATCTGTTTTCTTTCCACCAGCTACTTGCAGAGCCTCTCCTACCTTGTGGCAAGGCTTCCAGCACAGGCAGAACTGGTTACGCTTTAGAAGTGTCAGTCTCTGAATGGGAAGGCCCTTCAAGTTTCTTCTGGGGCCTGCCAGTCTCTTATGCATTCTTGAAGAAGAATGAACTGTGGCTCACTCTGCAATAATGGTTGCTTTTTGTAATACTGTTGCCAGTATTCATAGAATCATAGAATGGTTTGGGTTGGGAGGGACCTCAAAGATCATCTAGTTCCAACCCCCCTGCCATGGCAGGGACACCTCCCGCTAGACCAGGTTGCTCAAGGCTCCATCCAGCTGCCAGGGATGGAGAGCATCCACAGCTTCCTTAGGCAACCTGTTCCAGTGTCTCACTACCCTCAGGATGAAGAACTTCTTCCTTGTATCTAGTCTAAGCCTGCTTTCTCCCAGATTCCAAACACTACCCCTCTTCCTATCACTGCAGGCCCTTGTAAAAAGTCCCTCCTCAGCCTTCTTGGAGGCCCCCTTCAGGTACTGGAGGGCCACTATAAGGTCTCCCCGGAGCCTTCTCCTGTCCAGGCTGAACAAGCCCAACTGTCTCAACCTGTCCTCGTACGAAAGGTGTTCCAACCCTCTGACCATCTTGGCAGCCCTCCTCTGGACTCGCTCCGGATTTTGATATGTGTTGATATGATACAGACTAACTCTGCTATAGAGACCCCTCGAGGAGGTAAATGTATGGAAGCTGCAGAATGTTCATTTGCTTATGTGAAAAGGCGAGAGTATGTCAGCAGTGTCACTCAATGAAAAACTAATTTTTCAGCTCAGGAAGTGCAGAAATTTCTGAGAAGTACTAGTCACTGGAGTGCAAGGTTTTCTCATCTCGTCTCTTCTGCTAACGTTTCATTCCCACAGCCATATTCCAGGAAAGTTTTGAGACATTCTCTGCACACTTCATATGTTCAGGTTCTTTTGGTTCTACTTGAAGAAATTAATAGCCAAAGTTGATACTCGTAATGTAGAACATAAAGGCTGTGTTAAGACCCACTTGATAAAAAGAAAGCCTGCCTGGCTTTTTTCCTAAGAGAGACCTGAAGGGCACATTTATGGTTCTTCCCCTACCATACCCCAGGGCATTTTTAATGGATTCAGCTCTTAGCAAAAATATATTTTTGGTTCTCTACCGCAGAATCCCTTCAAAAAAGGGACAGGCTGTGTTCTGTTTTACCAGCCACAAAAGTACTCTGTTACTTTTTGAGATATGTACAATATTTGGTTGGCAAAACTTTTTCTTTTTTTTTTCCCATTGTGCTTGCCTGTGGGTTGTCTCATGGGCTCGCACAGTATACTTGTTAATATGTTTATCAACATCGTGTGAAACCGACGTACAGTTGCAAGGCTAATCTGTCTGACTTCTGCTTTGGAGAGTTGAAGGAGAAAAGCTTTTTTAGAAAGTAATTCAAAACAAACTTGCGTAGTCTGGTGGTTTGAGAGGGAGCCTGATGAGATTAGCCTTGCTAGCCTAAAATTGGCTTATGTAAATGTTCGTGAGTCCATTCTGGTACTTCAGAAAGATTCTTTGTAGTGCTTCAGAAAACTGAAGTTTGGTTTGGCTGGGATTGATAAAATTGTTTTGTTGTAGCTGTGCTGTAATTTTCTGCTGGGATCTTGGCACTTTCTGTAGTCTAAGTTGGAATTCTTCGCAATAAAATTTGGTGGAAAGAAGTGTTGCTTGCTTACAGTTCTGCTTGAGAGTATTTTTGACAGGAATCATGTTTCCCCTGATTTTGATAGCTGTTTCTCCAATGCGTTAGTTGTCTTGGACTGCTTTTACTCTGATGAGCTTCACCTTTGGTGCAGTTCATGGAACAGACTAACCTTAGAAAGAGTATAGTTGTGAGGGAAGGGCATCAGATGGCGATGTGGCCTTGGAGGTTTGTTGTGGACTGAGGGCAAGGGGGGCTCTGCCTGTCTTGTGATTGTGAACTGTAGTCTAGATAAAATGATTGGTGAGTGTTCATATCTTCAGAAAAACCAAAGTTGTATGTTCAATACTTCTGTTTTGTAGCATAATTTTGAGTATACTCAAAATCTGAGTATACAACAGATCTGTTGAATATGCTGATGGTCTATCTTTTCTACTCTGAGAATGCCTTATTTAAGATCTGGTCCTTATTCTATGATGTTGCAGTAAATCAGAAATACATGCTTTGTTTCCATTTTAAGACTGAAAATATAATATGGCCTTTGTAATAAATATGAATCAGGCCTTTAATCTATAGCTCTGTAGGAGTTTGAAGCTAATTCTTCGGAACGATGGCTGCAAAATTTTATACTATTTTTGAGTTGTCAACAAGAGCTCCCTGTTTAGTGACAAACTTTTCCTTTTGCCAAGGAAAGTATATTTATGTACTCTTTAATTGCAGGCTACCAACTATGAATGTGTCGCCTAAGCAGAAATAAAATGCATGTATGTGAGGGTAATGGGGGTGGCTGGATATTTCTCAATTTTGAAACTGATTTCGAACATGGTTTAGAGCAGAACTGTAAGAACATCATTAAATGGAGGGAGGCAGTCTATCTAGATTGGGCATAATTTGTCTCAGTTATGTGTCTGTACTGCAGGAGATGTAGGCATTAATGTTACTGCTGTCTGTTAATGGATGTTTCCTCTAGGCAGCGAATGAACTGAATTTGAATACTGCTGTGGTTGGGCATTTTAAAATTGAGACCAGCATGTACCTTCATCCCTTAAAGTTATCAAAAGTATTAAAATGCAGCCAGTTTCTCTGTAATTAAAAACAAATTTGGAAAGCAGTATAATTACAACACTGTCTTCTAGCTGATGGGAAAAAAAGACACCATCGCGATAATTTTTGTTCCTCATCAAGTTCAATTACATTGGTTTTGCTGCAGTGTTTTTTTCTCTTCAAATTTCATAGATCAACTTTTACTCCTTGTTCTGTGTCTAAACTGTGTTAATGTGTAGAAAATGACACAGTGAAATGATGAATGAAGGAAAGACATTGAGATCCTTTAGCTTACTCTGGTACAATTATATAGTACATTAATTTTATTTAGATCTTAAATGAAAACATGTTGACTGCAGTGTGAATTTTGTGTGTGAGGCAAGAATCGGGCCTTTTGTCAAATACATTCAGGACTGTAGCATTTGAGATTGTTGGCTTTGGGGAATTTCAGTGTGATTGAAAAGTGTTACTTACCATGTTCTGTCTTCAGATTCTGTCACTTTGATCAATTGCTTTCTTTTCATAGAAAAGCTATAAGAAATATGTAGTAAGGGTATAAATGCAAAAATGACATTATGAAGACTAGACTACCCATTTTGATGGGTTCCTGATGTCATCTTCTGGACCAATGCCTATTGGTACCTGTGGTGTTAGCCCATCTGGTTTCTTACTCTGAATTTTCCATTGGTGGCTGTGTTCCATTGATTTTTGTGCTGTGAAGCTGTGTAAAGTTTAGACAAGAGAATAAGCATGGGCTGGAGTAGCTAAAGGCCCTCTCTTCAGGGTTTTATCCTTCCTAAGACTGGGCATCACCTCTCCTGAGCAACAAGCATCATAGCTTGTGTTTGCACTGTTATCCAGTAGTTCCCAGAGCTGATGCCTCTTTGTGGATCCTTGCTGCCTTACGAGGGCTTGGGAGCTTTCCTGAAGCCTTGTACAATAGTTAGTTGGCCACATAAGCAAACTGTGGAGCATGCACTAGTGGTCTGGAAAGAGCTAAATTTGCATTTCTGGGAAGCATCAACTTGTGATCTTTTAACGTAGTTTTCATTAGACTACTTCTGTGTAAGTATTATTATTATTCCGTAAATAATTGCAGAAGTGGTGTATGTGACCAGTCTCCTAATACAGCATGTGAATGGTCAGCTCTTTGGAGCAGGGTCTAGCTGCCTGCCGGGGTTTGTGCAGAGCCTGATGCAGGGCAGGTTGTTACAGCTACTCTCAGAGCAGTTTGGGACATTACTGTGTTTTAAGTAGCAACAGCCCAGCGCAAGATATGAGGCAAAACTGGCTTTTGGTATAATACCATCACAATAATTGACAGGGAATTTTCTACATTCAGATCAGAAATTAAGCTAGTTAATTTTTAAATATAGTCTATGGATAGGGGAGGTAGGCAGAGTGTAACTAGTGTAAGTGGATATGTTTTCTGCAATGAGGAGATGCTTCTAGTTCAAGAATAAAAAGCAGGAGTAACGCCACATGTATTACACTAAGTACTAAAGAAAGTCTGCTTGCACCCACTGTGTTCTGGAAATTTGTTGTAAGTGCTCCACTAAAGATTATTCTGTTCGATGGTCCTTACCCAGGAGGTGTCTGGTATGTAATGTTTTTTCTGCTCCCTAGGGACTTTCTGCAGAGCTAATAAACTGGCATGTAATGAGTCTAGATAAAACACTAGAAAAGAAAAGGTGGAAGAAACACTGATGAGGTTATGCAGGTCTGTAGATCTTCCCTAGAATATTGTTTTAACCTCAAGATTGTGGTATTATTTGTAGAAAATGTCTAAAGAATTTAAAATAGTTGGCAACTTTGAAGATGTGCAATTTAAGGAGAGGATTTAATGGCTTTTAAACCTTCGCGAGACAAGTTGAGTTTCTTTAAAAATCAGTGATGGTTGATTAAAAACTCAAATCAACTTACTCTTCAATTCAGAAATCGATTAGCACAGATTTCTTAAAGCTTGTTACATGCGATAACCTCTCAGTGTATGAAAAAACTTAAATTTAAAAAAATTTAAAACTTAAATCGCATTATGGAAGCGATTAAAAAGTAGGCAAAATAACTTTCAAGTATTGTTTGAAGGACGCGAGAGAGAAATTTTGGGAAGCCAGAAAAGCCAGCGCTAGGTAGGAAGAGCTGAACCTTGGGAACTGCAAGCCACATACTATTGACTAATAATTTTTTTAAATCTACTTTTGTTTCATAGGGATGCGGTAAAAAAATGTACACTTTTTTGAGGGGGACGAAGCAATTGCAAGTGCTGAGATTTCTAGGAATCTCTATTGGAGTAACGCAGATCCTGGCTATGATCCTCACTATTACTTTGCTGTGGGCTCTGTACTATGACAGAAGGGATCCTGGGGCGGATCAGATCATGGCCCTGAAGAGTGATACCTCGCAGCAGCTGTCATGTCATTCCGTGGAGCTACTGAAACCAAGCCTGACAAGGATCTTTGAACATACGTCCATGGCAAACAGCTTTAACACACACTTTGAAATGGAAGAGCTGTAGGTGATGCAATGAATCTGATAAGTCACAAAGGGTTTTAATCAGCTTTTGTTGGTTTTTTTTTTGTTCTTTTCCATCACGTGTGTCAAATATACGAGTCTTCGTATGCTTCAGAAAACAACTAAATGAATGGAGGTGGAGGAGGCCAGCACGAGAAGAAGGATAAGCCTGTCAGCCTCTTAGACATGGCCTCAGCCGTGAAACAGAATTGATTTTGTTTGTTTTTTAAAAGGCACTCATTCGCTGGGCACAGTAATATTTAACTTATTGTGAAAAGCTGCGTGATGTGTAAAATACTGATTCTTTAACAGGTAGACAGGCAACCTCTAAAGAAGCATCACAGGAAAGGAAAAGAAATGCTCACCTTCTGAAGAAACAACTGTGCCTTGGGCAAACAAAATGTGACTTCAGTTGAAATTGATTTACACTTTTAATAAGCCATTTGGAAAATGTCTTAATCAGGGATCTGTGTATATATAATTGTGTGGTTTTGTGTGTGCATGGAAAGCAGAACTACAATTCAAGTAAATACTTGGATTTAAATTGCAAGATTTGTAAAAAGGGCGAGAGTCTCTTTCTAACAAAACCTTTATCTTAGCTGTTGTTAAAGATGTTTTAAAACTTCTATTTTTATCTAACATAACTGTTTAATTTTAAATTTTAAATATATTAAACAGGGATTGAAAACAAAACTATGACTCTGGACAATAGACTTTAATTTTCTGAGTAATTCTGGAGAATTCTTCTTTGAAACAGTTTGTTCTATGGACTATTTCTTAGTGAAAAGAAAGAAAACCTTAAACATTCTTTCCAAAATGGGAATCAATATGGGAGTAGCACATTTTTATAGATAAATCTCTTCTCCTGTCTGTGATTCCCCTGAAGGTAGAAACAAAAGACTACAAGGAAAATGTGTACAGTTCTGGATGCTATTGCAATAATTGTAAAAGTACATAAGGAGAAATTATACTTTGGCGGCTTCTTCATTAAGAGCTCTCTAGTGGCTTAAAATGCCAACTGGAAACAGCGTTAAAATGTATTTATTGAGGTGGGGAAAGTGCATTTTACTGTATTTTTGTGAACAATGTTTATTTCATAGGATTATTTTTACAATTGGCCACACTCCTGAAATATGTATTTGTTCTACTGAGTACAGTAGTTTGTGGCAAATGGGTTCTTACATAATACTACATTTAAAAAATTCCTTCATTTGTTTTGGAATTTGTAAAAGAAAAGGGGAAAAAAAAAAAGGTGTGATTTGGTAGACAATAAAATTACTTTTGTCTTAAATTCCATAATGGCTTTTTTATTTTGAAGTCCTAGAGTGTGAATGCTTTGGATGGGAGTTGGGAAGGGTCCTCCTACTAGTGTGAGTTAATTTGATGTGTCTTTAACCATTCCACTTACTCTGCTGTGGAGAAACTGCATTGAAAATTTCATTTTCCTTTTTTATTGCTTCTGAGAAGGCTTCTTAAGGGCTGCTGAAATTAAGCTCTTCAGGTGTGGGGGCTGTTCTTTGGTTTTTAGCAGTCTACATGTGGGTGTAATTATTTCATAGGTAGTATTGTAAGCAAGATTACCTTTCTCTTACAGATGCCAATAATTATTTTGGGAGGTAAGGAAATCACTAAAGGATAGACCTTCCCAAAATTTTGCTTGGAGTATCTTTGTCAGCAGTACTTTCTCATACACCGTTCAGGTTCAGCCCAGCGTTACTGCAGATTTCCATCCTTCCCGCCATAGCTCAGGGAGAGGTTCCTATGTAGAAAAAGAGCAGGTGCCTGGGAAAGCCTGGATATAGACCAGCTCTAGACTTTGGAGTGCTACAGAGACCTGTGATGCTGCACAGTGGATTGAGCCACTGTTGTTTTTTTTCTTTTTCCTCTGTTTTAAAAAAACAAAACAAAACAACAGAAACAAAAACACAACACAAAAATCAAACCATGAACTGTGGAATCTTTTGATTGTGGATTGCATGGTTTACATGTACACAGCTACATTCAGCTGTGTATTACAGCTGCATGTAGGGAATGTCACCATAAGTAATGTAAAAATGGGCCAGAAGTCCTGCCCTTTGTGCAGGAAATACTGACACTTAAAGTTTTACCCAAGGAGCATGTGTGGAAGCTCCCTTAGCCATGCTTCAGCTATTCTGAGTCCTCCCATGGGAGGCTCCCCAGGTTACCTGTAAGTGTTGCCTGTGTATCTTCTCGAGTCTGAGTTAGAGCTCATGAAGGAACAAACACTGCAAGCTTGGCTAGGGAGGTTTGTTGGAGCAGTCCACAGCTAGAGTTAGAGATACTGACAGCCCAGGTCATTCGGTTTTAGGCTTCCCAGGTGGTGAGGAAGCACTGCCATTAGATGTAGTCAGAGGGACTGCTTGGGGTTGGGCTCCTTTGATACGGGATCAAACTCCCAGACCAGTGTTTGTGGACCCCATGACAGTGAACATCTGTGGTCAGATTAACCACACTTGTGCTTGGCTACCCAAATCCTGAGCCAGTCTGTGTTCACTAAGGGCTAGTTTCATTAGGGGAATGATGGAAGTATTCTCTTCCCTAGCAAGGACTACTGGTAAGTATTCTGGGAAGGAATCCTTCTATCTTGAGTACCTAACCACATTTGCAGAAGTAGGTCTCAGCTGTAAATTGGAACACTTTCAAACTTTTTTCTTTCATTGTGCTCGGGCTATGAGGTGTCTCTGTTTTTCTATGGCTTGTTCAAAGAGCCTTAATATTGATTGCCTAGGCTGCTGTGAGCCTGTTCTTTTCCTGTAGAGCTTTAGGATATATGTAGAAGAGAGGCTGCTTGACAAGAGGGGAACATTTAGGGATACTTGTAGCACTGGAAACTACTTCATCCTTTTATTTCCTTTTTCCTTCAGTTTTGCAGGAGTACCTGGAGGAGAAGGGTGCTGTGTTCTTTCTGCAGCATAAACTGTAATGAACCAAATCTTTCTTGTTGCAACAAACAACTGTGGAGCTGCTCCCTAATATTTTTCACAGATCACTTGATGTCAAGGAAAGCAACTGTGTTAGAAAAGGGGTCACCCCCTGCCAGCATCAAGTGTTTCCATTCAGCCTAGTGAGTCTGTGGGACTGTGTCTGTAGCTATGGAGCTGAGTAAGGTTTGCACCATGCAGTCATGACTTGGGCATATGGGGATGCTTTCAAGAGGCGAAATTCACTATTCGTGGTCTGTAGACAAGGTATTGATTCATCTGCCAGCAGGTTTTATGACAGGGCTTTCTGAAGGAAACAGAGCTTTATGTTTTCTGTTCTTTATAACTGTTCATTTTGTAAAAGCAACCCATAAATATAGGGGAATATATAAAGAATCAATAGTAAAAAGAGAGGCTGTTGGTCACAGTGACTGTACAGTTAAATATGATGGAGAAAGGGATTTTCAAATAGTTTTGGAAGATTTTACCACAAAAGCATTGTACTGGGGTTTGTGTGGCAAGGGTTGGGGGGGGCGGGGGGGGCACAGCAGTGGTTTCTGTGAGAAGC